TCTTTTTTTTTTTTTAAAGATGAGATCTCACTATGTTGCCCAGGTTGGTCTTAAATTTCTGACCTCAAGTAATCCTCCGTCTTCAGCCTTCTTGGGTAGTATCATTTTAGAATCTGTAAATGTCTGTTGTCTTTTGTTTGATTCTTTAAATCTGGAATGACTGCATAGGACCATATTGCTTTCACATCGGGGAGGTATTGTTTGGCATACTATAGACTGCCATTGCCTAAACCATGAATTTCATCAGCTTGTTCTGTAAGTTGAATTTTGTTTTTCGCCATAGCTGACTGGAATAGACCACCATTGCTTACGGCAGTAAGGCACAACAAATTTCTCTAAAGCAAAATTAATTAGAATCCAGAAACTGTTGTCTTCTCCAGTGTACATATTCTTTAAAATCTTCTACAGAGATGCCAGCAAGAGGCAGAGAGTGGTGGCTCATGCCTCTGATCCCAGCAGTTCAGAAGGCCAAGATGGGTATATCACCTGAGGTCAGGAGTTCGAGACCAGCTTTACTAACATAGTGAAACCCTGTCTCTACTAAATACAAAACATTAGCCAGTATGGTGGCGGGCACCTGTAATACCAGATATTTGGGAGGTTGAGGCAGGAGAATCCTTTGAACCCAGGAGGCAGAGATTGCAGTGAGCTGAGATTGTGCCATTGCATTACAACCTAGGTAACAAGAGTGAAGCCCCATCTCATAAAAAAAAAAGAAAAAGAAAAAAGAATTCCAGCAAGGTGCTTAACAGTAAATGTCACACTTTTTAAAAGATTTAATGTCACACTTTTTAAAAGATGTATTTCAATGAATGAAAGAGATGGTTTTAATATGCTAAATTTGTCAGTCTTCTATAGTTTGCACTTTTGTGTCTTCTTTAAGAAATCCTTGACTTCAGTAAAGTATCAGGATACCAATTCAATGTACAAAAATCAGTAGCAATTTTATATACCAACAATGTTTAAGCTGAGAGCCAAATCAAGAATAGAAATACATTTAACCAAGGAGGTGAAAGATCTTTCCAAGGAGAACTACAAAACACTGCTAAAAGAAATAATAGATGACACAAACAAATGAAAAAACATTTTATGCTCATGGATTAGAAGAATCAATATCATTAAAATGGCCATACTGCCCAAAGCAATCTGTAGATTTGATTCCTATCAAACTACCAATAACATTTTTCACAGAATTAGAAAAAACTATTCATGTGAAACTAAAAAAGAGTCTGAATAGCCAAAGCAATCCTAAACAAAAAGAACAAAGCTGGAGGCATCACATTACCCAAGTTCAAACTATACTACAAGGCAACAGTAACCAAAACCACATGGTAGTGGTACAAAAACAGACACATAGACAAATGGAACAGAATAGAGAGCCCAGAAATATAGTTGCACACTTACAGCCATCTGATCTTTAACAAAGTAGACCAAAACAAGCAATAGGAGACTGGATGTGGTGGCTCACCCCTGTAATCCCATTTTGGGAGGCCAAGGCAGGCGAATCACCTGAGGTTGAGGGTTCAAGACCTGCCTGACCAACATGGAGAAACCCCGTCTCTCCTAAAAATACAAAATTAGCCAGGTGTGGTGGTGCATGCCTGTAATCACAGCTACTCAGCAGGCTGAGGCAGGAGACTTGCTTGAACCCGGGAAGTGGAGGTTGTAGTGAGCAGAGATCATGCCATTGCACTCCAGCCTGGACAATAAGAGTGAAACTCCATCTCAAAAAAAAAAAAAAAACGAAAAAAGCAAACACACACACACACACACAAGCAATAGGGGAAGAACTCCATATTCATAAATGGTGCTGGGATAGCTTGCTGGCCATATGCAGAGGAATAAGACTGGACCCCTACCTATTACCATATACAAAAATTTACACAAGATGGATTAAGATATAAATGTAGGACTCCAAACCATAAGAATTCTAGAAGTTATCCTTAGCTGTGAGCCCCTACCTGTATTGCAAAAAAAAAAATGAAAAAAAAAAAAAGAATTCTAGAAGTTAAATAGCTACTATACACAGGGCTTAATACCTAGGTGATAGGTTGATAGGTGCAGCAAACCACCATGGCACATGTTGACCTATGTAAGAAATCTGTGCATTCTGCACACATGTATTAGTCCATTTTCACGCTGCTGATAAAAACATACCTGACACTGGGCAGTTTACAAAAGAGGTTTATAATGGACTTACAGTTTCATGTGGCTGGGGAAGCCTCACTATAATGGCAGAAGGCAAGGAGGAGTAAGTCACATCTTACATGGATGGCAGCAGGCAAAGAGAGAGCGTGTGCAGGGAGACTCTCATATTTAAAATCATCATTTCTTAAGAGACTTATGCACTATCATGAGAACAGCATGGGACTTGCCCCCATAATTCAATTACTTCCCACCAGTTTCCTCCCACAACACATGGGAACTCAAGATGAGATTTGGGTGGGGACTAGCCAAACCATATCTACATGTATCCCAAGACTTAAAAAAAAAAAGGAATCACAGAAGAAAACCTTGGAAACACTGTTCTGGACATCGGCCTTAGGAAATAATTTATGACTAAGTTCTCAAAAGCAGTTGCAAGAAAACCAAAAATAGACAAGTGGGACCAAATTAAACTAAAGAGTTTCTGCACAGCAAAATAAATGATCAAGAAAGTAAACAGACCACCTACAGATTGGGAGAAAATATTTACAAAGTATGCATCTGACAAATTTCTAATATCTAGCTGGGTGAGGTGGCTGAAGCCTGTAATCCCAGCACTTTGGGAGGCTGAGGCGGGTGGATCACCTGCGGTCAGGAGTTCGAGACCAGCTTGGCCAACATAGTGAAACACCATCTTTACTAAAAATACAAAAAATTAGCTGGGTGTGGTGGCAGGCACCTGTAATCCCAGCTACTAGGGAGGCTGAGGCAGAAGAATAGCTTGAACCTGGGAGGTGGAGGTTGCTGTGAGTGGAGATCACACCATTGCACTCCAGGCTGGACAACAAGAGTGAAACTCCATCTCAAAAAAAAAAAAAAATTCCTGATATCCAGAGTCTATAAGAAACCTAAACAATTAAATAAGAAAAACCAAGTAACCCCATTAAAAAGTGGGCAAAGACATGAACAGAGACTTCTCAAAGGAAGACATACAAGTAGCCAACAAACATGTAAGGAAATGCTCCACATCACTATCCATCAGTGAAATGTAAATGAAAACCACAGAGATACCATCTCACACCAGTTAGAATGACTATTTTTAAAAAGTAAAAGACCAGCAGATGCTGGTGAGGCTGTAGAGAAGAGAATGGTTATGTACTGTTGATGGGAATGTAAATTAGTTCAGCCACTGTGGAAAGCAGTTTGGAGATTTCTCAAAGAACTTAATACAGAACTACAATTCAACCCAGCAATTCCGTTACTGGATATGTATCCAAAAGAAAACAAATATTTCTACTAAAAAGACACATGCGCTCACATGTTTGTCACAGCACTATTCAGAATAATAGCAAAGACAAGGAATCAACCTAGGTGTTCATCAACAGTGGATTGGGTAAAAAAACATGTGGTGCTTATATACCATGGAATACTCTGCAGCCACAAAAAAGCCATAAAAAAGTCATAAAAAAAGAAATCATGTCCTTTGTGCAGCATTGTGGTTGCAGCTGGAGGTCATTATCCTAAGAAAGAGAAAGCCAAATAGTACATGTTCTCACTTACCAGTGGGAACTAAACATTGGGTACTCATGGACATAAAGATGTCAACAATAGACCCTAGGAACTACCAGAGAGCTAAGGAAAGGAACGGGGCAAGGGTTGAAAACTGACTATTGGGTACTATGCTTAGTACCTGGGTGATGGGATCATTCATAACCCAAACCTCAGCATTACCCAACATACACAGGTAACAAACCTGTACATGTACTTTCTGAATATAAAAGCTTAAAAAAATAGAAAAGAGATTCTTCAATTTCCCACAGTCTAAAAGAAATTCACCTATATTTAATACTTAGAGTGTTCAGGTTTGTTTTTGATACTGAAATTTTTACTTCATCTGGAGTTTATTTTTATATTTGATGTAGTTATTCATATAAAAGTAGTTATTCATATGAAAAGTGATGAAATACCATATATGAATATATTGCATATAATACCATATATGGTATATATGCATTACCATGTATACCTATTATTATATGGTATATATGAGTTACCATATATACCTGTATGAATGGTATATGGTAATATATGCCATATATTCATATATGACATGGCATCTCTTTTCATATAAATACTTTTTCAAAAAATTTTTTTGAGCTATCGCTCTGTTGCCAGGCTGAAGAGCAGTGGCATGATCACTGCAATCTCTGCCTCCGAGATTCAAGTGATTCTCCTGCCTCAGCCTCTCAAGTAGCTGGGACTACTGGCGCGTCCCACCACGCCTGGCTAATTTTTTGTATTTTTAGTAGAGATGGAGTTTTACCATGTTAGCCAGGAAGGTCTCGATCTCCTGACCTCGTGATCTGCCTGCCTGGGCCTCCCAAAGTGCTGAGATTACAGGTGTGAGCCACCTTGCCCAGCCTCAGGTTCTTTTTAATAGACTCTTTTCTTCCCATTAATGTGTCAAAATAATTATCGAAATGTGGAAATCGCAGAAAGGGAGTATTGGGTATCCTTCCCTTGACGCTGTAATGGGTGAACAATTTACAACTCTGTAGGAGCAGAGATTAACTTAAAGATTGTTTTTTCTACTAGACATGTAAGTAATTTCTATCCAATAGAACAAATCATCTTAGAGAAATAGGAACTAGGTTTCCATAAACCCAAAACTAGCTAAAGTTTCTTTTTTTACATTGCCTATATACACATCTAACTCATTAAATGTTCTTTGGGCTAACTTTAGCATCTGATTGATTTCCTCATTAATCAATGACGAGTAAAATCTTTTACATAAAAGAAATGTTTTTGGTCGGCAAAGCCTGAGTCCTGTCCTCTCACTCTCCTCCTCCGGCAGCATGAGCTTCTACACCCGCTCTGCCTTCTCCACCAACTACCGGTCCCTGGGCTCCCTCCACGCGCCCAGCTGCGGTGTCTGGCCTGCCAGCAGGGCGGCCAGAGTCTATGCAGGAGCCCGGGGCTCTGGTTCCCGCATATCCGTGTTCCGCTCCACCAGCTTCCCAGGCGGCATGAGGTCTGGGGGCCTGGCTGCTGGGGTGGCCGGAGGTCTGGCAGGAATGGGATGCATCCAGAATGAGAAGGAGACCGTGCAAGGCCTGAAGGACCGTCTGGCCCCTTACCTGGACAGAGTGAGGAGCCTGGAGTCCGAGAACCGGAAGCTGGAGAGCAAAAGCCGGGAGCACCTGGAACGGACCCCAGGTCAGACATGGGAGCCATTACTTCAAGACCATCGAGGACCTGAGGGCGCAGATCTTCGCAAATATTGTGGACCCAATGCCCGCATCGTTCTGCAGATCGACAATGCTAATGCACGTCTTGCTGTGGATGACTTTAGAGTCAATTATGAGACAAAGCGGGCCATGCTCCAGTCTGTGAAGAGCGACATCCATGGGCTCTGCAAGGTCATCGATGATACCAATGTCACTTGGCTGCAGCTGGAGACAGAGATCGAGGCTCTCAAGGAAGAGCTACTTTTCATGAAGAAGAACCATGAAGAAGAATTAAAAGGCCTACAAGCCCTGATTGCCAGCTCTGGGTTGACCTTGGAGGTCAACCCAAATCTCAGGACCTTGCCAAGATCATGGCAGACAACCGGGCTCAATATGATAAGCTGGCTCGGAAGAACCGAGAGGAGCTGGACAAGTACTGGTCTCAGCAGATTGAGGAGAGCACCACAGTGGTCACCTTGCAGTCCGCTGAGGTTGGAGTTTCTGAGATGACGCTCACAGAGCTGAGACGTACAGTCCAGTCCTCGGAGATTGACCTGGACTCAACGAGAAATCTGAAGACCAGCTTGGGGAACAGCCTGAGGGAGGCGGAGGCCCACTATGCCCTGCAGATGGAGCAGCTCAATGGGATCCTGCTACACCTGGAGTCAGAGCTGGCATAGGCCCCAGGCAGAGGGACAGCACCAGGCCCAGGAGTACCAGGACCTGCTGAACATCAAGGTCAAACTGGAGGCTGAGATCACCACCTATCATCACCTGCTGGAAGATAGTGAGGACTTCAATCTTGGTGATGCCCTGGACAGCAGCAGCTCCATGCAAACCATCCAAAAGACCACCACCCGCTGGACAGGGGATGGCAAAGTGGTGTCTGAGACCAATGACACCAAAGTTCTGAGACATTGAGCCAGCAGAAGCAGGGGACTCTTTGGGGAGCAGGAAGCCAATAAAAAGTTTAGAGGTCATTTGATGTTAAAAAAAAAAAAAAGAAAAGAAAAAATTGCGGTGAGCCGAGATCGCGCCATTGCACTCCAGCCTGGGTAACAAGAGCGAAACTCCGTCTCAAAAAAAAAAAAAAAAAAAAAAAAAAAGAAAATTATACTTTAACAAATCTGATACAAAACCTCTCTCCTCGTATACCAAAGTTTCAAACATGCTTGGGTCTGTTTCTGAGCTCTGTTTTCTATTTCAGCAGTCAATTGGCCTATTTTTGATCATACTGTTATAATTGCTATAGCTTCATAATAAGTCCTCACATTTGGTAGGGCAAGTCTCCCCTTGCCTTTTCTTATTCAGAAATATTCTGGCTATTTTAAATCTTTACTTTTCCATGTACGTTTAAAAATCAACTAGTTAAGTTCAACAAAAAATCCTATTGGGATTTTGTTCAGAATTTCATTGAATCTGTGGATCAGTTTTGGGAAAATTAATATTTCTATGATAGTCTTCCTATCAGCAAATATAGCATATATCTAATTTGGATATTTTTTCATGTCTCTTAATAAGTTTTAATTTTTCCCTGTAGTGTTCTTGTACATCTTTCATTAGAATGAATCTTAAGTACTTGATTTTTTTCTAATTCTATTTTAAATGGTGTATTTCTTCAAATTACATTTCCCAGTTGTTTGTTGCTGGATATAGAAAAGAAATAAAATTTTTGCATAATAAACTTATTTGTAATTACCTGCTAAACCCTCCTGTTATTGCTTATTTTAATGTAGTATGATTTATCAATATTTATGTTTTTTTTAAATAAAAACTTATTTCAAAAACATTTCCCTAATTGAAGATCATGAGAATAATGTTTTTCTATATTATCTTCTGGAAGTTTTATTGTTGCTATGGTCTGAATGTTTGTTCCCGGCCCCTCCCTCCCCTTTTCAGGTGTTGAAACGTAATCCCCATTGTGATACAGTGTGACATACTGTGATACAGTATTAAGATGTGGGGCATTTGAGAGGTGATGAGGCCACAGGATTAGTGCCTATGGTAGTCTGTTTTGTGTTGCTCTAACAGAATGCCACAGACTGGGTAATTTATGATAAATACAAGTTTATTTGGCTCACAGTCCTCGAGGCTGGGAAGTCTAAGACCATGGCACCAGCATATAGCACGGGCCTTTGCGCTGCATCACCCATGGAGGGACAAGAGAGGATGTGAGCAAGAATGCAAGAGAGAGCTAAACTTGCTTTTGTAACAAACCCACTCCCTTGATAATGACAGTAATCCATTTCTGAGTGCAGAGCCCTCATGACCTAACCACCTCTTATTGGGCCCCACCTCCCAATACTTGTTACATTGGGGATTAACCTTCCAACCCTTAAACTTAGGGAACACATTCAAATTATTGCAGTGCTCTTATAAAAGTGGCTCTAGAGGCTAGACCTTAGGAATGGGGCAGGGGAGGGGTGGGCCTCAAAATGTAATTAAAGGTCTCTGATCACAAAGCCTTCAGCCTCAATTCCTATCCTATTGTAAGACAGTGTAGTTATATGTTTTATATAAAAGAAGTGTAGAATATAATAACAATAATAACTACCATTTGTTGAGGGTTTACTATGCATCTGTTCCTGCCAAATACTTTAAAGTTTTTGCAAAAGCTCTGAGAGGGAATTACTATTAGTTTCATTTTACACATAAGAAAATTTGGGATCCGGAGAAGTTAGGTCAATTACTTCTACAATGCTACAGAGAAAGGTAGAATTGGGATTTGAATTCAGGCTGACTTCAAAGTTCAAGGTCTTAATTACACTGGAACAAAGCACAAAGGGATGTTGTATAAATTGAGTATGTTTTTTCTCAATTTTGTCTTAGTTTTTGAGAAACTCTGGTTGCTGTATTGTTGTATGAATGTCATGGTCATGTCTTTGTTAAATAAGGAGTATGCTTTTGGAATATTCTTATTTACGGCAAAGGGACGTAATCGTTGTGCTTAGCATGTCGTCTATAGTGTGGTATCTGAGGTTCCTGACTCTTCTGGGAAAAGCCACGATTCAGCCAAGCTGGTTTAATTAGAAAACTGGGAGATCAAAGGGATCCCTGAGCCTACATGTGACCCCTTCAATGACACTCAGGCTATGAGGCTCAGACCTGAGGCTGAAAGCCTGGCTGGATTGCCATGTTGCCTCTTCTCTTATTTATTTATTTGTTTGTTTGTGTGTTTGCTTATTTATTTATTTAATTTTACCTTGAGATGGAGTCTTGCTCTGTCTCCCAGGCTGGAGTGCAGTGGCATGATCTCTGCTCACTGCAACCTCTGCTTCCTGGGTTCAAGGGATTTTCCTGCCTCAGCCCCTGTATCTGGGATTATAGGCACGTACCACCACACCCAGCTAGCTTTTGTAGTTTTTAGTGGAGATGGAGTTTTTCCATGTTGGCTAGGCTGGTCTTGAACTCCTGACCTCAGGTGATCCATCTGCCTCAGCCTCCCATAGTGCTGGGATTATAGGCATTAACCACCATGCCTGACCTGTTTGTTTGTTTATGGAGACAGGGTCTTACTCTGTTGTCTAGGCTGGAGTGCAGTGGCAAGATCATGGCTCACTGCAACCTCAGCCTTCCAGACTCATGTGATCCTCCTACCTCAGCCACCTAAGTAGTTGGGACTATAGGTGTGCATCACTACACCTGACTTTTTTTTAAATTTTTTATAGAGATGGTGTTTTGTAGGGATATTGCCAGGGCTGGGCTCAAACTCCTGGGCCAAGAGATCCTCCTGCCTTGGCCTCCCAACATGTTGAAATTATAGGTATGAGCTACCGCGGCTGGCTGCCTCTTCTCTTTTAAACTGAGTCTGGAGACTTTAGAGAAACCCAGTGGAATATACAGCCTTTTATGCTCTTAAACTGGGTGGTAAGAAAATAAGGTCTCTTAGAGGATAATTTTTTAAAAATGGTAAATTTGTGACTTTCATACAGATATAACTCATTATTTAATGAGGGAACCAGAAAGATGTTACAATTATTTCAAAGAGGGACTTCAAAGAGCAAAAACAAAAATAGGCCATGAAATAAATGTATGAATAAATGTAAAACTGGCTTTTTCTATTGACAAAAATTCTTTGCTTGACCAAACTTTAGTCAGCCTCTTGAAACTTCTCCAAGGCCCATCTGTGCACTTGTAAAATCCAGTTTTATCAAGGAATCTGGTAAGACATTTTAACAAAAACCCCCTACTCTCAATGTTTGATCATCTTCGACCTTTGATCCTCCATCATCACCCAGGTGATGTCTGATCACCCTGGCTGTCTTCAGCAAGACTCCTGTTAGGTGGGTTTATGCAGAATCCCCTTTACCCTTGATGTTGCCTCTTAGTAATTTTCCATCCATTGACCTCCACCTGATTCTTGGCTCTAAATTTTCACTTGCCCATGCTGTATTTGGAGTTGAGCATAATCTCTCTCCCTCATTATGAAATTCTGTTGTAGTGGTCCCTATACTTATTATCTCAATGGTTCTGAATAAAGTGTGGCTTACCATGCTTTAACAAGTATCATTGAATAATTTTTTCTTTTTTTGAGATGGAGTCTTGCTCTGTTGCCGAGGCTGGAGTGCAGTGGCGTGATCTCAACTCACTGAAAACTTTGCCTCCTGGGTTCAAGCAATTCTCCTACCTCAGCCTCTCAAGTAGCAGGGTTTACAGGTGCCCACCACCATGCCAAGCTAATTTTTGTATTGTTAGTAGACACGGGGTCTGCTATGTTGACCAGGTTGGTCTTGAACACCTGACCTCAGGTGATCCGCCCACCTCAGCCTCCCAAAGTGCTGGGATTACACAGGTGTGAGCCACTGTGCCGGCCATAATGTTTTCTTTAACACTATGGATGGAGGGAAATCAGTGTTTCCTCCAAGCAGTCAGAATCTACTTGTGTGTCTGTAGACAGGAATTTTTGCTTTGCTATCAGTTATTTACAGAGTTATGAGTAGCCCAAAGATAATAAAACCTAATAGTGAAGTGGCATCATTCATCTGGGGTAATACCTAAGGTTCATTACCTCACACCAAGGATATCAAGGATGCAGACACACAAGGAATGAGTTTAAGAGTGGAAATTTAATGGGCAAAAGGGAGAGTCTCTCTCATGCAGAGGGAGGCAGTTCTGAGCAGATCTCCTAGTTCACAGCAAGAGGCGGTTGTTTTACAGATAAGTTTGAGGAACCGGTGTCTAATTTACACAGGGTGGAAAGGATTGGCTGGACCAGTGTGCTATTTACATGGCACCCTAATCTTTTACCACACTAATCTTTAATTATGCAGATAGGTTCTCTACCTGGCCAGCACCATGTTGCCTGCTTCTTTACTGCCTGCTGATAAAGAAAGGGGAAGACGGAGCTTCCATGTTGAACATACCTGGGTTCCAGGTATCCCTTTTCTATTGGCACAGCTGCCAGCACTTCCCTATGCAATCTTCCAGCTTGCTTATCTATGCCTGCAGCTTGATTTTCAGGCTGCTCTTTTTCAGAAAAGAAATAATTTTGAGGCTGCTTTTTTTTAAATTGCATTTTAGGTTTTGGGGTACATGAGAAGAACATGCAAGATAGTTGCATAGGTACACACGTGGCAGTGTGATTTGCTGACTTCCTCCCCTTCACCTATATCTGGCATTTCTCCCCATGCTATCTCTCCCCAACTCCCCACCCACCCTGTCCCTCCCCTATTCCCCCCAACAGACCCCAGTGTGTAGTGCTCCCCTCCCTGTGTCCATGTGTTCTCATTGTTCAATACCCACCTATGGGTGAGAACATGCGGTATTTCATTTTCTGTTCTTGTGTCAGTTTGCTGAGAATATTATGCAGCAATCAAAAACGATGAGTTCATGTCCTTTGTAGGGACGTGGATGAACCTGGGGCTGCTTTTTATTAAAAGAGAAATCTTGCTGAGGACCCTCTTACCCTATCTGCCTAAACAATTTCTTTCT